TCAACAAATAAGCTCAGGCAGTCAGCATGCGGAGAGGCCGATAGGCACCGAAAAAATATTCCGAACTTCACCGATGTGAATTGAGGCGCCATCGTGCCTGATAACTCCTTGTCTTCAATCGTTTCAGATTTGGAACGAGAACTTGATAAAAGTGCGTTCCTCCTCCACGGTGGAGGATTTCTGGGCTGTATACAACCACATGAAGCTCGTTTCGACAATAGCTCACGGGCGAGTGCCATCTCGAATCAATGAATCCGGATAGTCGCCCTTGTCCGGAGAGATGGTCGCGCGGTCGGCGCGCGAAGGGAGGGGGTAGCCTAGAGGTTCTCTACAACGGTGCCTCGTCATGTTCACGTAACAATTATCTCTGACGAGCAACCAGCGTAAATGAGCATACCGGATTACGCTAGCTGATCTTTTCCGCGATAGAATCTTGTCCGCATGCGAATGCAACCCGACCTTGAGGCAATGCGGAATCCCGAGGGCATTGATTGTTCGACATCGATACATTCCTGATAATAGCATCGAGCTCCGTAGAAATCATCCAACGGGACACGGAATCGGCCAGAGCCAGCAGAGTCGTGTTTGCATTGCGTCGAACATTCGCGACCGAGGAGAGAATGGAGTTAGGAGTGGAAAAACGCTTTGCTCCCCTCCAAATGGCGTCGTAATTTTCCTGATGCAGCTTGGTCCCGGAAAATTGCATTCACGCATAGCGTCAGACTTAGAAGACTGTTCTTCCTTGCGATTCCTCTGCGGAGAGCTCCGTGTCGATCATGAGTTTGCCGCTCCTCCATGTGTTCTCCTAGGCCTTGGGACTACGTTCCTGGGATATCGCCGTTTACGTACCGTTGATTCTCCCGCTGGAAAGGCGCAGAATCTTCGGAAGTGGAAGCCTAGGGCGGCTTAGCATTTTCCAGACCTTTGTAGATCGAGGAGTCACGAGGACCTGTGGCCCTTCGGTATCCGCAGAGACCTGATGAATTTCCGAGGATGGCTCGATGAGAGAAGCTTCTGACTTCACTGATGTGAGTCGTAGCGACCTAGCCGGTCCGATCCCGCAAGGACCGATGGTCATAATTCTGGGTCGCGTAAACGTTGTGCTTTGATATCGAAAGGAAGGCAGAAGTCCGTGGAATTCACGCAAATCATTTTGAGAGCCCGGAGAGCAGCTCAGTCTCCCTTCAGAAGTCTCCAGCAGCACCTCTGAGTCTCGCGTACGCGGAGGGGAGATCTTCGGGAGGACTCTGAGTTGGATGGCTAGATACCGATGGCCCTGATTTTACAGACGTTTCCGAGAGGCGTTCCCGCAGATTGTGGGTTCGAAATTCGACAGCGGCCCAGTCTAGCTTGGGAAGTTCGCGTAGAAGAGACTTCCCTCCTCTCGTCTCTTGCAGTCATCACCAAGGATCCGTTGTTTGACGGTTTCTCCCGCCGCACAGTGTGGCCAAATCCGATTTTAGGCGGCAGAAATTATTTCAGTGAGTTTTTTGGACTATTACGTGGTCAGAGGTTTCTGGCTCTGAGCTCCTCGGAAAGCCGCGTACAATAACTTGGCAGGTCCGGTAGGCAGAAGATCTTTGACTTTGTTCCATTTTGTCCTCTCCGCCGAGTCCGAGAAATTTTTCTCTGGTCGTCCCGCTCGTGGTGTCCCTTGAGACGCTCTCGAAGGTCCCGGCTCCTCGGGCACGTCTTCTTGAGCGGGTAGCTCAGTGTAGTGCACGATGAAGTCGAAGTTTTAGGCTTCCAGCGATTCAGCTTCTTTAACGAAGAACCGTTCCGCTATCGAATTATGTCTCCCGAGTTTTACCTCACTCGGGACACATGCCTGCTAATCTGCTTTCTGATGTGAGATCTATTGCTTAGTTGCTCAATTTCAACATGAGCATGACTCAAAATGAGTTTCTCCAACCCATCGATGCACTCGTTCTTCCGGGAGTTGAAGATTGTCTCCGCAAATGTCGTCCGGGGCACCCAAATTCGAATATCTGAGAACAGCACGCATTCACGTTTGCCAGAACTTGCTGTTTTTTTATTTCGGAAATGGAAGGAGGGAGGGTGAACGAAGATTTTCCACCCAATGAGCCGCCCGGGTCCGCCCTGGTCCATATACTTCCTTGACGGTGAAATTTCATGAAAATCAGGCTTTTTTCGCAAAAAATATGCACTCAGAAAAACTTCTGATTTGCATATTCTCGTCGAATGAAACGCTAAACGTGAAGTTTCAGACTCAATCTTACTCACGATTCGGTGTTTGCTCCTTCCTTAATCGATTCCACGGAAACTCGAGCGTCAGCACGAATCGGAAGGAAAAAGTGACAGTCCGGAGCAAAGAAAACTACCTCTTTCCGGAGTCTCTCCAAAGAGATACATGTGCTTGGTTTCTGATTGGTGTGTGTTTCCGAGTTCCCCATACTTCCTCCAAAACGCCACGACATAATTTTTCAAGATTTTTCATTTCCAATTTCTGCCGCCTAAAATCGGGTTTGGCCACACTGTGTGCCGATGAAGGAGTCGTATGGGACCTCGAGTCGCCGTCCCTGGCCTCTGGATAGATTTGGATGCAGGAGAATGGCTCAAATCAATGATACAGTGGATCCTCGGTATGGGAGACCCGAATATGACCGGCACTCGATTACAACGGACCGATTGCTCGATTCCGAACAAGCTCATGGAATCTCAAACGTTGAGCAACTCGGCTCACGCTGACCCGATGACGGACTTTCGGATATAACAGACGGATTTCTGGACCCCGATACTTTTCCTCCATTCTGATCGAATCGGTTTAAATGGAAGTGTTCTTGCGAGTAGGGAATTCATAGGCGACAGCCTATCGGACGATTCGCGAGCTTTTTCGCCGAAGCTGCAGCAAAACTCCCGATGATTTCCACGCTCCCTTCGGGCTTAGAATCCAGGTTCGGACACGACGTCGCTCCATATTCGGGTCGCTTCGGATATTAGGTATTGTTCCGGCCTCTCTCTTCCAGCCTCTTCATATAGGATTCTACTGTCTTCAAAAAATCGAAACAACAATATTCCGCGCGCCGAGCTCAGATCCGGGGTTTGGCACTCTTGCTATCATCATAGGGAAACATAAGGACTTGCACGGAGAAACCTCGAACCTGCGGCATTTAATCCACGAGTTGCCGTGAAAGCCGGAGTGCCCATCACGTAGGGATGACCCATTTACCCTGCAATCGGCCGAGCCGTCCGAGCTCGAAGGAGAATCGGTCCTACGCGGTCGGTGGATACACCGGCAAAGCCGTACAGATCTTGCGTTCCTAGCATCTCAGCCTTTCTCGAATTCTCGAGGATGAACGCAGGGAAGCTTCGGCATCGCTGATGCAGGATCAGCGTCAATTGAAGGGACTTTGTGAGTCTCATTCGCGCGCCCTGCCGCTCAGCTTCATGTGACTGTGTCCGAATAAAGGCGCTCATCGATGGAGCCTCACAATATTCACGAGTTTCATCAGCGAAAGAACCAGCCGAGATCCGTCGAGCGACCCTGGAACATCGTGATTGAACTCGAATGAACTCCATGAAAAATACTCCGGCGCTCTCCCAGATGCCTCCGAGGGTACACCGAGGAAACGGGTTATCTACGCAAGCAATTCGGAATACAGATCCGCTGTCCGAACGGTGAGATAGTGATCGATTCCATGACTGTCCTCTCGCATCCCGCGTCATAGCTCGCTATTCTGTCCATCACGTTCGTCCCTCGTGAGGATTGATGACCATCTATGAGATCGAGTAGCGAACTGTGTCGGGCTATCGACGCGTCTTCCGGGACTGATTCAGGCACGACGTCGGCTCCCGAAAGTTCGTTAGACAACGTCAGGCCTCGCGGGAATTAGATCCCGATTAAGCGCGGAAGGGGAAGGCTGTCGCTGGAATAGATGGAAGAACCGCTTCCGACCTCGCTCCGCGCCCGACATGAAATCCGAACTGCAGTCTTGGATAGAGGGAGGGGCAGCGTACGTCGGATGCGGTCGCGACCCCAACATATGTTCCGATGGGAGTCTGCTGGAGACGTTACGGAGGGTCCTCTGAGCCGAAGCTGAGGTCAAGCCGGCGAATCCGCTGTAGACCGGACTCCGCTCCAACCTGCTTCGGAGAGGCCGACCAGCGAGGGTCGGAGCGACGGGTTACTGAAATCATACAGAATCTGAATCCGACGTACGCCTTTTCTGACGTCTGGAAACATACACCAAGAGCCGCAGTTTACAATAAGCAGCAGGTTTCTAATATTTTCGACTATCATAAAGTTTATTTTCGATACGGTCTTCCACCAATCATCACGGCACGTCATACATTACATTCAGAATTTCATTGGGAAACGGCCTTCCTCTAGTTGGGTATCCCATTTTTCTACCCAGCCTTCGGGACACAGCGATTTGTACGCTTTCTGGAAGTACATACACTTCGGCTCTCCTTCTCCGAGCTTCTTCTGGCAGCGATGGAAATCGACGAAGTTCTGGACACAGTTCCTCTTCTGATTCGTATTGGGGAATCTAGGGTCGAACGGAGGGGTCCAAGGCAGTTGAGCCTTCAGTTTCTCCTCTTCCGGGTCGACCTTGTAGTACGGGTTCTGTTCCATGATCACGATTCACAGCGACGGAGACGTGAACCTAAAAGTCGACTTTGTCTCGAAAAGGACGAACAAACGACTGAACTCCAACCTAGGGTGGGAGCGTACCACGCGCGCGAAATTCGAAATTTCACGAGCGGTTTCTTCCTTGATGACCCGGAGTGCCTAAAATAAACGCGCTCCGACCTGTGGATTCGGGGGAAGAATCCGTCTTCTTCAGCCCGTCGAATACGATATGGGTCCCCGAGGAGTGTTCACTCGAAAATGCTAGGCGGGATTGCGCTCAGTAGACTCACTCGGGCGACGGAGTCGAATAACAACGAGCTTCTGTGAGTCTGCGATTCATACTTTTAGCGCAATCCGACGGAACGGGTCTCCGACGCGGAGAAAGTCGAATCTTTCCAACACGCACCTCGATCGAGATCTGCGAAACTGGAAAAGTCAGACCCATGCCGTTAGACGTTCGGTGGCCCATGCCACCGGCTGGGCGTCCTTCCGCTATTTGGAATGTAGCGAGTCACGTTGTTATGCCGACTGTTGGAAGTCTATCGAAAATGTTCGCAGGTGTGTTGTCGAGATTCAAAGATCTACACCGAGACCGTATCCGCTTTCGAGAAGAGATATGGGGGTCGAAGGGGTAGGCTTAGGGTATGAGCGTCGCGGGGAGCGCTCATCGGGATGAGGGCGTTGGGGGTATAGGGACCGATATGAACATGTTGCCTCTAAGTGACCGAGGCGAAGATCGATATCCGAACCGACGCGAACCTCTTCCCGGAATCTCTATGACACAGGTCTTGAACTCCTCGACAACGTCTCCTGATTTCTGTGGGGAACCTGAAGAGCCGCCAGAAGCAGACTGAGAGCCTCTTATCGTTTTCAGAGCTGTGTAGTTATTTCCGTTATCATAACGTTGATCGGATCCTCGCCGCCGTGGAAAAGCGACCAAGTGACGTCCCACTGATAACTGCGAGCAATCATCATTCATGTCTTGACGACCCGATCATTTGGAGTAAGAAGAGAAGGCTCTTCGGGAAATTATCTAGACAGCGAGTATGAATCGTGGATACTGTTCGAAGATGATTCCGAGCTGGGAAAAATTCCTATCGACCAATTTCTCTTTCGTGTTCGCAGGTATGTTACCGATGAGGATCCTTCTTCGCAATGAGAAAATGCGCTGGTCGCTCGCAGCTCATGACATATGCTACACCCGTGAGCTGCATTCGAATTTCTTCGCATTGGGTCAATGCATTCCTGTTGTGCGCGGTGATGGAGTTTATCAGCGCGGAATGAACTACTGCGTTGAGCTGCTCAATCTAGGGAAATGGGTACATGGATGAATACGGACGCACTCTGTCAGATCGTCGACTTGAACTTTCCCAGATATCTATCGTGATTGGGAACGCCTCGCTTTCCACTCCATGCTCAAGCTTCGTTCGTTCTCAAGGTGCACATATACCCCGAGGGAAGAGTCAACACGAATCCCAAAGAATTCCTCCGGTTGAAATGGGGCGTGGGACGTTTGATCTCGGATAGCAGGGATTGTCCGATCGTCATACCATTCTGGCACATCGGGATGGATAAATTACTCCCGAATATCGAGCCGTACAGACCTCACGTGGGACAAGTAGTGACCCTCAATGTTGGCTTGCCGATCGACTTCAGGTGAGACACGCCGATATATTTTCCCGGAAGGGCGATGTCAGATTATCGAATTGAAGATCGAATGGCGGTTGGAGATCGAATGGCGGTTGGAGATCGAATCCCCTCACTCATTTTTCTTCCAGTCAGATGAAGCTGGAAATGGAAGCTGCGAAGGCCGACGATTTGACAAAGCGGAAAGCTTTCACCGATGTGATACAAACTCATTTCGCCACTCTAAGAGAAGAAACCGAAGCCCTGCATGAACTGCACCTCCGGAATAGACGGAAAGCGTGAGCGTCGCATCGATAACTGTACCATGACATCATCGTGCCCATAATTCTCATTTTCGGAGAGCTCTTTGTAGAATTGACGCGTGTTATCTCATAGAAAATGATTGTTTACCCGTTATCTGCGATTGGACACTGCCATTCGTCGTCACGAGACGACTCCGAATAAAGTATCGTCCCGTGTCGTTTCTTCAAAGCTGGTCGACGTCCGCTATGCAGAGCGAGTGGAGTTCAGCTGAGAGGTATACGGAGCGCGCTGAAGACTCGAAGATCAATTCACTTCATTGTTTCTTTTTTAATCAACTATTATTCGCCTGGCGAGGGTTCCGCTCTCGCATTCCCATTCCCTCGTCGAAATCAGGTATCTAAATTACAAGCGTTGAAAGACGCATTGGCTCGTGAAGACCGCGTCCGATGATTCCGCGAGGAGAGATTCATCTCACATCTGAGGGTACCATCATGCTTGAGTTGTATCACGCAATCGACATACGAAGCTTCGAGAATTGCTCGTCTCTACGTCTGCGTGTACAGTCTGGAAGAACGAATTCTCACTAACTTCAGCCGGCGACAGCCGACGTTCCTGTGCTCGCCTCATGTTCGAATGCACAATATCACGGGTTTCGATGCCGAAGATCGAGAGGCTCCGATCAGAAGAGCTTGAGTCTTCCGAAAAGTCTTGAAAGTCTCCCGAAACTTTCAGGTCTATATGACCCGATTCCTCAGCGAATTTCCACCGTATCAGATGGCTATCTCTGGAGTTCCGTTGGCGAGAATTCGCTGATGCTGTCGATCATCACGCATCTGAGGGCTCAGTGCTTGGTGTATAAGCCGAGTTTCCGCGCGACTTGGTTATCAAGGTAGGCCTGTCTGTTGGTCGGGAAAGGGTTGAAGACCGGCGGCGGTGACTCAGCTCGAGAAGGTGGGGTCCTGGAGGGCAATCAAAGTATGTAATTTGGTGAACTCTCCGGCAAATCGGAATGGGGATCATATGCATTGGAATCATTTGAAAACGTCTGCAGAATGTCACATCTTCCGATTTCCCTCTCACCGCGAGTCTCCTGAATCGATAGAAGTCGACGCGACCAGTCTAGCCGAAGCATCCTCCACTAAATGCGTGACCTTAGTATAGCGCTCCAACAGTTCGTCCAAGGTCGGCGGTGTTGTCGCAATGTTCTCACTGGAAATATGATTTGGACGTGTTAAGAAAGAACATTCTCTTGCGACCAGTCTGCCCGAACTCTGCTTGCCGTGCCTACTCCGATGCGGAAACCGAGTCCTGAGACGCAATGCCAATAAGATATCCGCACAAACTCCTATTTCGGTCCCACCATCTTCCCGTGAAGGGACGCGTTGGATTCATTCATGCGCCTGTCAAGCATCACAACGATATTGCATACTTTCTTCCGTGGTCGTTGGAAAAATAATTCTTAACGTCTGAACACACTCCACATACACATACGCCATCTGTGCAACTAGTCTCGAAGCTGGTAGCATTCTGAACCAGCTGCTCTCCATTATTAACTACCTGAGGTAACTCCTTATTTTCGGCGCCGGATTTGCTGCTGTGGAATCAGAAAGTATTAAAAGGACGATCTCATATCTAGGTGCGTCTCGAATTCGATTGCGGCGATCACAGTCGACACAATCTCTCGAATCTCCCGCTCCACGTGAATAAATCAGATGCGAATCTCCCGTCCTACGTGGATAATTTCATTCGGCTCCGGAAGGAGAATTGCTCCGTCGGGAAAACCTGCTCAGGAGGACGTCCCTCATCGATTGGCTGAACGACGTCGAAAACGTGACTCTGATTGACGCCACGGGGATGTCGTGAATCGTCTGATTCGAGATGGGCCCCTCGTTAAGCTCGACTCGTGATTGTCGCGCACAGCTTCGTTAGAGAGCGCCTCGGCTCAGGAATGTTTCACCGGCATACCTGTCGGTGTCTTCCTCAACGAAAGGTCCGTCGGGGATCTGATGCCACATCTGGGGGGCGTTGGCGATCGAAGGTGGGGAATTCGATTCTCCGCTCAATGACCAGCTCGGGGGAACATCGGCGATGATGAGCTTCTTCGGCGGTTTCTCCGGCTTCGTTTCCTTGTTGACCAGTCTCGTCCCTGAGTCCCCGTCCGTCCTCCGAGCTTGAGCCTCACTGTTATTCCGAACTTCAAACTCATCCAGCGGCGATTCCCCGGATTCGAGAGGTTTCGCTTCCGAGAGGCTCTCGTCCACAGGAACATCGACCAGTGCGACCTCTTCCGACGGGTTCTGTGAAATACTTTCTCTGCCCTCTGGATCGGGACTCGTCGCATCATTCGAGACGAATTGCTTGCCCGAGGGCCTAGGGGAGGCTGGAGGGAGGGGCGACGCCGTTGATGAAGAATCTGGCTGATCGCCTGCTGACGTCACTGAACTGTCGCTGCTGCTGCTCCAGCTGCGGGGCCGAATCCCCTCACGTTTCTCGCGTTCAATCTGTAAGACGATTCGAATCCCCGGCTTATTGACACGCTCAACAACCGAATCGATTGACGATTCGGCTGTCTTTCCTCTGATCGATGGAGAGAGCTTCGCCTCTGCCCACAACCGACCTGATCCCAAGTGAGAGTTTCTCCTTGAGGCAGTGCCGCGGGCGTTTGTCTAGAAAGTCTTTCGTCGAGCATCATTTTTGTTCGCATCGCACGCGGTCCGCGGGGTCGGTTGGCTTCGCGGAGATTGCTCTCCTCTTTTGGCATGCTGAATTGGACCTTTGGCGTGGGGCGCACTCTGCGAACGATGGGCTTCTGTCCCGCCAACAGAGTATCGACGGCGGGTCGCGGTCCGGGCGGACGCGGCCGCGGTCGGTCGAGCTGGCCTTGTTGCTGTGGGTCGTAGGGAGGGGGAGACATATCGTTAGTCTACGAATTTACAAGTCTGTAACGCCTCTCCAAGGTTGGAAACTTCTCTATCTCAAGATCCTTGGTACGGTCCCATCGGAAACGCACCTCTATCGCAGTTTTGAGCGTTGAAGTCAGTATGACGTGAGCTTGTCTTTGACGGTCTCGCAGCTTGGCGTATTGTCTTTTCAGGGTCCCGATATCGAGAGAAACGTTGGCTTTGTTATGTCTCTGATTGGAATACCAGGCGGCCGATGCGAGCGCGAGCTGGTCCTCGTCCATCTCCGATTCCTCATCATCGTCCGTATAGAATAATCGCAAACCGACGAACTCTGGAATCCGGACAACATTTCAATACTCTCCAGAGCAATGTAACGATTATCGCTGCAGAGCTTTACGTCTGCATCGGACTGACGCACGCTCGATGAAATTACCTTTGATCGATGTCTTCCTCGGTGCCGACGCGAAGGAACCTTGCGCGAAAGGCCGAATATCGAACGTGTATTTCTCCCGGAGTTCTTGAAGCTGCGGGAAAGGAAATGGAGCCATGGTGCAGATTGTGTTGACCAGATCGTTGCAGTCCATGAGCCCGAACTCCAGCATCTCCCGGCTCAGCACACCCATTATCGAATAGAATTCATCCGCTGATTCAACCGCCATTATCCGACTGCGGGGTGAAATTCGACACGTTAGGTATTTCTCTTCATCTGTACGCTCTCCCGGAGACAATCAGACCCGCCAGGCGAGGCTTCGACGGACGTCCATGAATTTCGGGAGTCAGAGGAGCCCCCATGGATTCCCTCACTTCTAGGCAAAGATCACAAGCCTCATGTCAATATCAACACAACGAGGGAAGGCCGCCGCCGCCGCCGCCGTATGTTTCTGTGTGTGTCTGTGTGTGTGGATTGGATTCACATGTTTCATGAACGGTCATCGAATATTTTTTCTTACTATGCACGAGTTTTGTCACGGACAGATTTCTATTGAGCCTCGTTTGTGTAGAAGATCAACATGGAGACCCAAGTGAAAAACGCCATCCATGAGATACCCGATCTTCAAAGAGTTCCAGACCCTGTATCTCCATATGATGCTTCATTGAAAACTATTGTTGTCGACAATGGTTCGTACGAATGCAAAGTCGGCTGGAATTCCGATCCTGCACCCCGGATGATTTTCCGGAGTCATTCCACCAAAATCCGCGGACAAAAAGGAGGAGAGATATGTGTGGGGAACGACATTGCCAACTATGAAGCCTCAGGTTGGATGCCGCTGAAGAGTCCCTTCGAAAAAAACATTGCCAGTCACCCCGAGATTCAGGAGCATATCTTCGATCACATTTTCACAAAGCTAGGTTTCCACGGTGAAGCGTCCAGGATAGATCATCAGATCGTAGTGACCGAACCCATATGTAATCCGAATTACTATCGCCAATATATGTCCGAGCTGTTATTCGAATGCTACGGAGTGCCCAGTGTCGTTTATGGTATCGATTCGATGCTCAGCCTGGAGCACAACATCCCCCATGTTCAAAATGCCCTCGTCATCGGTCTTGGCCACGCCGTTTGTCACGTCGTTCCCGTGCTTGGCAACGAAGTCCAATTCAAACGTTCCAAGAGAATCTCCATCGGAGGACAGAACGTTGTTGCAACGCTGCAACGGCTCCTGCAGCTGAAACATCCACATCTCGCCGCGGCGATCAATAATTCGCGTTCAGAATACCTAACTCACACGTTCTGTGAGTTCGCGCTCGATTACGACGATGCGGTTCTCAAGTTCCGAGACGTCGAGCATCTGAACAAGAACACAACAAGGATTCAGCTACCCTTGAAGTCCATCCAGGCAGCCGCCACGGCCACGACGACCGCGGGAAAAATGGACGTGTGTTATGCGATTATTCAACGCGTGGAGAGTGTGATGTCGCAAAAGTACAAGATGAAACTCAACGACAGTCAGGAAAAACTGAAGCAGTTGCTCGTCATTCACGAGATGGCTGTCTGCGAGGAGGATCCGCGGAAGAGGATCTTCACCCTGAACGATCTCGGTTTTGACAGCTTGGAGGAGGTGGAAGCCACGATATCGATGCTCAGACACCGCATCGAGAACACCCTCCAGAGCGACCTTCCACCGATCGTGGATCTATGCCACTACTCGGACCCGGAGTCCTGGCTACTGTCGCTCCGGAGAGTCCGAGAAGATCTCAAGTCTAAAATCTCTGATGACAGCGACGCACAACGACCATATGGCTCTCGAGAGGAACGGCTTTCCGATGAAGAAACATTAGACCGGATTGAGCTGATCATTTTCGAAACGGAACGAGAATTCAGGAGACCTTCCGTGCTGGATCTAGATAATCTGAGGAGCTCATCCGCCATCTCGAAATTTTACCAACTCCTGTTGTCAACGGAGAAGTATCGAGCCCCAGAGGTCCTCTTCCAACCGACCGCGATGTTGGGCTTGGAGCAGCCCGGTCTCATAGAGACCGTAGACAGAGTGCTGCAGCAGTTCGAAATCGGAGAACAGAGGGATATGGCGCAGAAAATTTTCGTCACTGGGGGTCCCGCCTGTATTCCTGGTCTCAAGGAGCGTCTCGAGCGCGAGATCCGGGCGATTCGACCTTTCCAGAGTGATTTCGAAATAATAATGGCGCGACAACCGGATCTAGATGCGTGGAACGGAGCTAAAGCGATTGCCAGTGATGAGAGTGTTCTGCAGTTCGCCGTGTCGCGTGAAGACTACGATGAGTTCGGACCGGACTTCATAAAGAAATTCAAGTGGTCGAACATCTACGCCCCGTCTCCTCTCGTCGTCAGGATCTGAATTGCGACCACCGAGGTCGAAGGTCTCTCGTGGCTTCCTGGTAACCTGGCAATCCGGACAATGCATCGGCGAGGAATCTTTTTCGTTTGTCGGTGCTTTTTTCCGAGATCCCGCAGCTCCGAGGCTTCCCTCTAGGGATTGGATGGCGGAATAAGTGTATCCGAGGTGTATTTATTCACTATCACTACTGTAAATAAAACGGGACTTCATTATCCTATGCATTCATGGTGACGGATTGTTCGCTTGGTCAGCCCGCTTATTGCATGTTGACTGGCTCGCCTACGGCAGCATGATGGGATGAATTTTCGTATTTTGTCCAGTCTTATATTTTTCGAGATTGACTGCATCCGATAATGGTATGGCCCGGATCTAATTTCGATTTTCTTCCAGAGCCTGCCGATAGGAATTCGCATCACGATCTGGGAATGTTATCATTATGTTCCGATTCATCGAAATAAATTAGTTCTCAGCGCGCTAAGAGCCCCAATGACTTCGCGATGATGGGCCCTACATCAGACCTTGTTTTCGTTTTCCTTCGTTCTCTATCGATCGAAAGTTTCCGCTGTGAGAGAATTAATTTGGCTCAAAGTGGATCCGAACGTTTTTTCCTCGTTTCTAAACCCCAGTTCCCTAAATTTCTTTCAGTGGCACTGGAAATCCTGCAGAGCCTGTCTCTCTCGTCCGTCTACTCGTGTAGCGAATGCTCATTCTCAACGACTACGCGCGGTCTGTACGCTTCTCACGTTCGCTCCCACAACAAACACAACGCTAAATATCAGTGCAGATTCTGTGATTTCAAGTCCGGCAATTTGCCGGGAGTTGAACGCCACGAAAGAATACACACCGGTGCCAAACCCTTCAAGTGTCAATTTTGTCAGAGAGCCTTCGCTGATTCGGGCAATCTCAAGAAACACGAACGAGGTCATACCGGAGAGTACCCCTACGTTTGTGACTGTTGCAACTACAAGACCGTACGTAGAGAACGACTCGTGAAACACAAGAAGAACTTCCACGGTATCCACGATTGACGAAAGGGAAGTTATGCACTAGCGAGCAGCTCACAGCAAGCCCACAAGTGAACGTTTGAAACACGCAATCATCAGGTCTCTGAATCCTCGCAGCTCCCGTGGTTGATTAGCCGCGTGGTGAGTCAATCGATTCAACCCGATTCACTTGTGCTAGACCTGAATTTAATCAAAACCGAAGTGCCAAACAGCCCATCGAAGCGTGAACGCGCGCGTTCACGGAGCAATCGAAATGCCGCAATATTTTTCTCATTTTTTTGAGTGGCGAGTTTCGTTGACGAGCGCGACCGTTTCCAATCGGAGATAACCATCGTTAGGTAGCCTTCATCGAGGAGATTTCCGTCTTCCATCACGGTGGTATTTGTGATCCTTTTCAATACATTCGAGCAATGAAGCCAGTGAGTGAATGTGCAGTAAGCGTCTCCTCAAGTCTTCAGAACGAATCATTGTTCAAAGCGGTTATCTTCTTGCGACTCCGGTGGTCAGGCTCACGAATAAGCCCCAGGTTCACTGTACTCTACTTGAGATATGATTTGAATTCGGACGATCAAGCTCTCACCACGAGGAGAGGGATTGTGAAGAAGTCTGTCCGCTCAAGCAGCCACTCCCGTACTTAGGTCGAGTTTATATTTTGCCCACCGATAGTTGGTCTCCAACTCACTCTACAATCGTCGAATGAGCCGAATGGCCTCCTCTTCAGGCTCCGAACCCGAAAAGTACCTCGTAGTAAGAATCGTTCTGGGTCCTGCTCAATTTCGCCAGAGCGCGCCTCCCACACTTGGAGTGATTGTGAGCCCGATACAGTTCTAGAGCCATATCAAGTGCCTGGGTTTTAACCCACATGTTCAATACTCGAAACCATCAGTGCCCAGCTCATCTGGATACGTCATTTCCATGCACTAAGGCACTACTTTGAGCAATTCTACAGCTCATTTTGTGCTATCGCCAGAATCTTATGTAATTTTATGTAATCTGTTTCTATTTGAGACGGTTGAGGTGACTGTGAATGCTCTCTGAAATAGATACCTTCATCAGGTTGTGTGGCTCCTCGATGTTTTCCCTAATGATAACCTTCCTCCCTCTAACCCCGTCCGTCCGAGCGGCCGTCTCGCCCCCCTTCCCCAGAAGGAGTGTCTAATACACCATCTCGTGTAAAGAACGGTGTTGGCGGTGTGATGTGTTCTATTGGTATGACCGTCAGAACTACATTCCCCTTGTTTTTTTCTCTGTATGTGTAGAATGTTTCCCAATCGGCGCAGATTATCTTATGAAGAAAATATATAATAAAGTTGAAAATTCCCCGGATCGCGGTCAGAATAACTTTTCTCCTCTGGCTTACGCAGTTGTCTTTGATTTGACATCCTCATCTAGATTTAGAGCTCGAATCTCCGTCGCATGAGTCTTCCATCAGATCGAGTAGGTCTTAATTTAGATTCTCAGACCACTTACTCTGCGAGACCGTCCCAGATCGCGAGCGCGGTTCTCAAAAGCACCTCGTTCCCCTCGAGCAACGTGAGGTCCCAAACCCTCAGCACCGTGGTTCCCGGAAGACAAGTCGAGAACAAGGTAAGGAACCATTGCATCGTGAACACGTTTGTCAGTGGTGGCTCGTAGCTGTTCCCTGAAACGGCGAATGAAACAGTTGAGCTCCAGCTTCACCGATCTCTGACCTGATCCGATCTTGACCGAATCCGAATTGGTGCCAAACGCGGAGGTACCTGTGGAAGTGTCATTGGCCTGGGCCTGCAGACGGTCCAAATGCTTTGCGAGGGCGCTCAATCGCAGCCGTAACAGATCGCGGAAGACCGCCATATCGACCGAGAGACCCTGGAGATCGTTGGTGAAGTATCCGTTCGGCAAGACGCCCTCGATGAGGTAGATCATCATCTGCGGAGAAGAATCAATCAATGTCAATGTCTCGGAGCCGAGCTTGATTTTGGAACGAGCGTTCGGTCAAGAATCCCCCAATCTTCGCAGGAGAATTGGTAGACGGCAGGGCTCCGAGGAACAAGCACGATCCGATTCCAATGCTCTTTGTGATCTGGCCGCCGACAGCGGCAGAACAAAGCTCCAGCTCCGTCTCACCTTCAATGCGTTCTCCTCGTTCCATTCCACGACCTGTAGGACGAGTGCCGCAAGCAAATTGAAGCCTTGACAGTATCCGACGTGCTTGTTGAATCTCGCGTAGGCCAAGAGGACTCTCTTCAAGAGGGCTTGATTCTGTTCGGCGATCTCATCATCTCCTGTGAATATTTTTTTCGTCACGACTGCACAAAAATCGCAAGAGTGCCACCGCAGCTCGGTGTCAGGAATGAAACGGTGCACCGGAACGCAGCTCCGATCGTTCAGTCAAAGGTGGCTCCCGTAAGAAGCTACTTATCGAGTACGCACCGGTTAGATGGCTGCAACCCGTCCTGTGAAGATCTTTCACGATCTGGACTCCGAGTTTGTCGTCGTCGGGATTCGTCTTCTCGTTTAGACAGGTACGACAGCTCGCTGGCCAATCCAGCTGTCTGTAAACTATATAGCGGTCCGCGAGGGTTAACCATAACTGCAAGACAAGGGGAAGGAGGAAGATTAGTCTTGGTTTCTCAGACGAGTTTCGATGGGGGGAAGCGGCGGAAACAAGAACGCGGCCCCCGCTGTCGAGAATTCACTCATTCGATTCCCTGTCTTCCTATCCTCTTCCTCATTTAAGGAGCAGTCAATCGACCGAGCGAACGAGGATCGACTTCCAGGGACTGAGCCACCTGTTGAGGAACAGTTGCTGCCGGCTCAGAATATCACGAAGATCGAGAGCTTCGAAGCGAGAAGGGGCAGAATGCTCCAAATCTGCTCAGTTCTGCCAGGTGAGGAAACAATTGGAAGAGCGCGCTTCTCGGCCATCCTAACGCAACGGCTTGTCGATCTCCAGACAGACGGACGAGGTGTCGAGTTGCATGACGCATCGATAAAGCCGGGAATTCGCTTGGCTGCCCTAAGACCGAGGCTGAAGAGGAATTCCCCGCGAATCAAAACATCAGAAAAAGATCATGCTAATGATGGACCGATGTTCCAAGAAAATGTGAGCGCGAGACAGTGAACTAGAAAATCTGCTCCACTGATTCGTGTGCCACAGCGTCACAGTATATGGATATCGAAATGGCCAAAGTGAACAGAATGTTTCGGATCGAGACCAGATCCCAATGTAGCGATGTCCAGGGTTCTACAGCATAATTCTTTGGTTAGACGAATCCAGAACGGATCCAAGGCCGAATACAGGGCTGATGCCTCTCTCATGCATCTCCGGCTACGTTCCTTCCTCTTGAAGAGTTGCTATTGGAGCCTCGCGCCGAAATTCCGAAGAACCCTGATCCGAAAGTATCGAGGCAGATAAGAAATTTTCGAGGGACGTGTAAAAATTTGGAAGCATCCGTTCCGTGCAGGTCATAAGTAAGCAAGTCATGGAGCGACTTGATACCTTCGCACGGAAAATTTCGAATCAGGAATCAGGAGGTCGGAGGAGTGTTTTGTACGGAAGAGATCGCCATCATTCGGAGCAGTCGCGCAATTTCGAAAAGGACCGCCTCCCCCTCTCTCACAGAACGGCCGCCCGCCGCGCTCTCGGGATCACAATCATCAGTCTGTAGGCGGGGTGTCTTTTTAAGGAGAATGACGCCATATTTTGTGTTGTGGTGGGTGACAAGAACTTAAGAGTTGGTTCGGCTGTCGTCAGGAGCGGAAGCAAGTGCGCTTTTCGGTGTGCTGTGAGATCCCAGGGCTAGAGGCCGTAAGCAGGATTTGCAGTCCGGGCGACCGTGCCCGGATCCTCTACAACGAAACCTGCTTCTAACTCACAATGCAGGCTATCAAATGTGTCGTTATAGGAGACGGAGCTGTCGGTAGGTCATTCTCCGGCGCCATTTTATTCTTAAGTCGCGGCGGACTAGTCGTCTAGTTCGACGTGAGCATCCATAAGACTGGCAATTCAGTTCTCGAGGGGAAACACACGACAGAATGAATGTGGCGGCCGGTGTTCCGGGGGCATGGACCCCACGCCTGCGGTTCGAATTCGTCTGAGCCTGCGCAAACGTTGATGCGAAATCCCTGTACTCGGGCTTGCGGAGTGACCGCTATGGGCTGCCGCCGCAGTCCATGCCGCTGACGAAGAGACCGACAAACTGAGTGAGCGACAGAAACTCGCTTGATCTGTATCGGTTTCGCACAGGACCTGTCGTCGATGGTCCGAGACATGTCCCGCGATCTAATCCAGTCCGCTAATCTAGAGGCACCATCGAGCTGCAATCTAAACAATCGCTGTTGCTCGATCATGATGATGATGATGACGACGATGGGCAGCCTCGATCGAACTTGAATCATTCCGAAAACGAGGCAGCGGCAATAGCCGTAAATCTAAGTGGCGGCTATAGCATTGATCACGCGCCGGCCACGGTGTTGGTAAACGGAGTAGAGGACTCGGAGGCCTCCAACATTCTGAAATCGTTGGCCGAACTCGTGGGGGAGAGCACAAGACTCTGTTCTTCCGCTGGGCGTTTTTCTCTGCTCGATGACAACCCCACCCGACGAATGAATATTCTGATAACCCGATCTCAAGACAATCGCTGCGGCTGTCGTTGATCATAGCCATCGACATGATCGGAGTAAGGAGATGATTGTCGGAGTGACTGCCAGACGGACCAAATGATGTAGAACCGTATCACAGGGGCCTCCCGCCGTTCGTTTTCGTTGTTCCGCTCTCGGTGCGTTCGCTCCCGATCCCTGTCCGAGAGCGAGCGAACGGGACCGTCTCATGAGCGTCAACTTTTGATATACGTCTCGCCGACTTGAAATGATAAGAATACTTCAAACTCTTTCGATCCGAAGTGACATTCAGATTATTGTGGAACCTAAAGCCCCTATTCAATTTTCCAGGTAAGACATGCCTCCTCATCTCGTATACGACAAATGCCTTCCCTGGGGAGTATATTCCCACGGTTTTCGACAATTATTCGGCCAATGTGATGGTGGACGGGAAGCCTATCAACTTAGGTCTATGGGATACTGCCGGTAAGTACCGAGCGCAATCCGTCTCCCGTTTAATGTTGATTGTCTCCTTGTTCCCCGTGAGATCGCGACCGGAAGCCACAGAAATTACGGTCGGGAATCGCGGTTTTCTCCTCACGAAAACGTTGCCGAACCGGCATTGAAGCTCCCCGCATGTAATGATTGTCGTCGTTTTTTAATTCGACGGAGCTGAGCACTCGACGAGTTATTGAACTCGTAATCGTTCGGGGAAATGTTCAGTTGCTTGCGTCTGCGCCGAGTGTTCCGGGTAAAATAGCATTTATCGACTGGCGGTGCAGTACTCTGCGGATCAGGTGTCTATCGCTCGGAATGAGTCATGTTTATTGTCGCGTCGAGATAAACCAACGATTTTCGACTTGAAGAGCGCGCGCAAATTCCGCTTGGAAAGAAAGCCTGCCTGACCGACACCCCGGTCAGCGGTACCAATAAACATTCTCGCTGGCCTTCATGCCCTTGTTGATTCTGTGTCGGGACCTAGAAGCCGTCGAGGCGAGCGAAGGCGAATACACGGACCGGGCAATAGGTCGGAGTAGTGCACACAAACGGTCAGATAGACATATAGACCGAAGAACACGCAGACACGCTCTCTTGCCCACCGAGACGTTCATCAGGCCGCCGCTGCCTTCGAGTCTGGAAATATTTTCGCTCCGCTCTAGAAGACGCGGATTCCCCGTTCCCATGAGCATCGCCGTTGACACAATGCCGCCTGGCGTTCCTTCTCTAGCAGAAAATCGATGTTCTTCCCGGTCTTCGATTGTTGTTCCTTCTTTGGGAGGATCTCTTTTTAGCATTGGATATCGTGGGCGGCCGGCGGACCGTTTTCGTCCGTCTCACGAAGCGAAAGGGACTCAATTCACCGTTAGCGGGGAAAATACGGCGCGAAGTCTGCGATTGTCTCACGATCAAAGCTTTGGATACATAATATCATGCGTGCATACTGAAGGCATAGAAGTGTCCTCGATCGCCGACTTGGTCCAATCAACGAGCATCGATATCCCACCCTCGCAGCTCCGCGGAAAAAGAAAGAGAAAGTCCATTCAGACACCGAAGTGGGGAGAGTTCGATGAGTGAAGTAGAAAGTGGGGGGAGGAAGCATTCGGGATCTCCTAGTAGAGGAAGAACGTCAATTCAAGTTTTTGTTCCGCTTTCCAGGTCAGGAAGACTACGACAGGCTTCGTCCGCTGTCCTATCCACAAACCGATGTGTTTTTACTCTGCTTCTCGCTCGTGAACCCCGCATCGTTCGAGAACGTCCGCGCGAAGTGGTACCCGGAACTCAGTCACCACTGTCCTAATACACCCATCGTCTTGGTGAGTACACGTGGTGATTTGGCTCCGAGATTCGAGTCGCTCCGATGTTGTACGCATAAGAAATTCCAATCATTGAGCGTGACTCACTTCGTCGTTGGTCACCCATTCATCGCGAGATGAATCATCGCGATCGCCGGAGACCGTGCCGCCCCGCCGTCACTGTACCGCACCACCCGCAAGGCGGTGGAGCGCTCGGTGTATCGGAAAGCGAGCGCCTCCTAAGGTTACACCTGAATGAGTTTAGGTTTCGGGTCTCATCGCCAGGTACGGACGAGCAATCGACCGAGCCAGATCCCTACAGAGGTGATGCTCCGATTGCGATGACGGCCGCACTTGTTGACTTTGAAACGACTGAGTGATTCCTGTGCGATATCGAAACCGGAACGCAGAAATTCGTTGGCAGCGAATGACTCGTACATATCTTTCCAGGTCGGCTTGAAGTTGGACCTCCGGGATGACAAAGAAACCCTTGATAAGCTCCGCGACAGGAAGCTGGCTCCTATCACATATCCTCAGGGGCTCGGTATGGCGAAAGAGATCAGCGCTGTCAAATATCTCGAGTGTTCTTCGTTGACTCAGAAAGGTTTGAAGAACGTTTTCGACGAGGCCATCCGCGCCGTCTTGTGTCCCCCGTACAAGCCGAAACCGAAAAGGAGATGCGTTCTCCTTTAGATCTGAACTCCACTTTTTGAAACCACAAAGAATCAATCATAAATCAATCCGTTTTTGAAGAACCTCCGACGATTTCGAAAATGATGGTAATGATCATTTTATTGATGATGATGACGACGACGACGACGACATCAACAGCAACACCAACTTTTTTTCGCAACGATTACGCCGAGGTAATATATATTTAAAACGCAGCGACAAGTGGTTGTCTGGTGACGACGGAGAGCGACCTGGTGCGCGGAAAACAAGTGGGTAGTGTAACGGGGGTGGGAAGATTGTCGTGGACTGAGGAAATTTTAAACGAGGTTGGGGCAATGAGGGACGAATGTTGACGATAGGATTATAACCACTAAACGTAGGAACGGAAAGAAAACATAGGACCAACCTATGGGCGGTTCAAATTGGGCAGTTATTTTCGCGCTGCTCGATTGAGGCCATCGGCTCGAAGCTTCGTCTGAAGGTTTCGGAGTATCAGGGAAAGTTTCGGAGTGTTAGCTTATCTGTTCACATGTAACATAATAACTGATGAAATGGTATGGACAACAATAAACATATTATTATTAAACTCGTTTTTATAAAAAAAAGTCTCCTTCCTCTCCTCACCGTCGCGAATCGAGAAATTGTTCCACGGAAAACCGTGAGCGAACCGATCGCAGACTCTTGGGTCTCGGAATCTTATTCAGAGTCGACAGTCTTAGGAAACTCTGGGACATGACATCCTGCGCTCAACCTCCCCTCGCGAGTCCCGGAGCCTTCGTTGCTTTTCGAGGGATGAAACTCTCTCAGCAACTGACTTCGTTCATGAAAAGTCTTCCTCGTACGATCGCTCGAAACACTTCGCAAATTCGTATCGAGATCTCCTCCGTCGAGCGGTCTCTGCTCCTTCGGGGCTGCGACCTTCTCGCCTCCCCATGCCCAAGGCATCCATAGAGACTGTGAAGACTCTCCGCAGAATCGAGCCGTCTGTAGGCTTCCGGGCTACCATTATTTCATATCGACCTAGTTTTCTCGGACAATGCTCTTCGGCGGCGGAACTTTTTCTCTGATATCCAACTTGAAAGCTCAAGTGAGAGCATTCTCAAGAATGGATTCTGTACCGTAGAGACATTCTGTGAAATGGTGTTACAGTCTACGACAACTCGAGGATATTAAGTGCCACAGGGAAACCGACTTTGACCGTGTGGCGAGCTCCGGGATTCGGAGAAGATACCAAAGGCAGACGACGGGATTTCCCTCTGCAAATATTGGATTATGGGGTCTTCTCGATCATCATACGAGATCGACTTGAATTGGAGGGAGGAATGTAATTCCAGAGAGCGGGATAAGCAGTCGGTTGGGAAGATAAATTATGATTCGTCGCGTCGAGAGAAGATCACGTGCGGGAGAGCCGGAGGTTTCTTAAGTCGAACCCTAGATTCCCCGACGAACGCAAAGAGAATCCAAGCTCACCAACGGAGCATTCCTTGCTGTCTACTCCTTATTGGCGACCGCTCAGCAGAATCCCCGTATCTTGCATTGATGGGAAGCAATAAGCTGCGGCGTATCGCAATACAAATATCGACGCTGATCCGGAGAGCCCGCGGCAATATCAGCGCAAGCCTCCGGAGCACATCGAAGTTCATCTATAAAGGAGTGCCTTTGACATCCGAATAATCCGATGATTCGTACTCGCGTAGCAGAGCGCTCGCTTTTCCTGAGAGAGCACTGCATGAAATAATCACGAGACGGCGATTCGGAGCGTGAATGAGAGATATTCTCCTCCACGTTTTCGAGAAAAATATCTCATTCAGGAAGCAGTCACAGAGCTCCTCGGAGCGCCGCTTCTGGGTCGCTGTCTCTTAGCTTTGGGAGCCGACGCAGGCTGTCTGAGCAAGAGGCGGACTAAGGATTATTTCGCGAAATGGAGGAGAAAATGATGCTCCGGAGAGGGAGTTCCTATCCCGCGAGTTCCCATCTATTCCGGCGGAAGAAGTACTCACTCTGCCTCCCATTGATGGGAGAGAACGGGTTGTAATCGAACAATACCCTCCGCAAGAATGGATCATTCATCTGAGCGGTGCATGAGTCGAGCGCCTCGGTTTAGTTCATTTCTTTTCCCGGATCGGAAACCCAATCAACGATTCACACACCGAGCACCTTGAGCAGAGAAAAATTTCACCGCTCCTGCGACGCTTATCGCTTCCGTCCCGAAGGAGTTCGCGTACTAAAGGGCTGACTTATCCAGAGGAAGCCACCAGACAGGAAAAGTTCGCTACCGCCACCTCTCATTCCACAATGGGAGCATGTACGGCGCTTTCGGCATCCATTTGCGTTCACCCCTACAGCGGAAAGGTCTTCCTCATCTGACTGAGAGTCTCACAGGAGAACTTGAGAGGGATTACAGATTACGCAGGCCCACCCGATGCCTCATGCGGTCTCGCTGAACGAGACCATCCTATGCAATCCAGCGGCGCGGTGGTAGCTCATCGGGCATTGGTTTCCGCTGAATGCTGACTGAGATGGAAGTCTCGCGAGGACCAAGTCTAACCGGGAAATGGATCACTTCATGACGTTGGCTGCAAAACGCGGAATAGGGCCCAAAATCAGAAAAGTGTCGGTTCGGCGCAGGCGGAATACGACCACATGCTCGGATATATCCCTGGAACGCCATTCTAATCTGTATAAACAGGCTCTTGGGCTATAGCGTGCGGATATTCCGTTAGAGTTCTGTTTTGTGCTCGAAGTCGAAATCCTTTTCAGCGCGGCTGTCCTTACCAATGAAATCCATTGAGGACTGCGCGCGTGGAAGTCAGACCGACGCGGCGCAAGGTTTTCTCCTCCCAGCTCCCATCTCTTGGATGATCACATAATACGCTCAGCGGAGTGGCTCCAGAAGAGAAAAGAGAGAACATTTCCCGAGCCTTGTCACTCTACATTCCGGGGAGGTCTGTGTCCCCGAGGTTGTGACCTCTAGAGCATCTAGCGCTGGCTTAATGGGAAAGTTCACCAGACTAATACCGGGACGAATATAAACTCACAAGAGCGCAGTCAAGGCTGCAGGAACAACAGCAGTCGAATAATGTGTACCTAAGCAAGCAGCAGAACATCTTGTTATCAAAAAACCCTCTGACACACACTAGCAGGGCGAACTTACACCTCGCTAGCAAATTGACTCGATATGAGAGGATCCTCAGGATTTACGCCGGGAGATTCCGCAATGAGGAAATCGAGCCGACTCGACCGGCGAGTCGCCCGCTTGCGGGGAAAAGGCGCTGCTTTCGGAACCGACTCTCCCACAGCTCTCAGAGGAGAAATCGTCGGATATGACATTCTTCCACCGAGGCGTTCCCCCGCATCAACGGGTTGTTCAATATTTGCTCCATCGGAGATAAACAGCACTCCGGACCCGATGGAATAAAAAATTGTTGTTGCTCTCGGGAAGCTTTTTCAAACTTAGGTGTAGCGAGCTACGAAAACCTCGTGCCAGATATGTCACTGCGAAGCGACCTTTATGCGGCAAAAAACTTCTCCCGGGAGAGGAATTCTGGAAAGTGTACGCCAATGCTTCACCTTGGCCGTGGATCCGCAGTATTTCCACGCGGCTAGGCTGTATCGGTCGGTGACATTTAGTCGGAGAACTTCGTCGCGAATTTCCCTGCGGCTCTGTGATCGGAATTGATGAGCTTCTCGGATTGAATGACATCCTCTGCTAGACTGGAGCTCGGACATGGGATATTACGAGACGATATCGCAAGAAAACCTTTGTAGTTCGCCGCTGACGCAATTCTTCGCGAGTCCTCCAAAACTTGTCCTCCTTTCCCCGCTGGAAATCGATCGACATTCTGAAGAACGGGAACATGCTTGTCAGGAAAAACTCCACAAGAGTCGCTCTCAGGAAGCAGCTCAGTTATTCTGTCTCTAAAGGTCTCATGACATTTTCAGACTTTCAAAGGTCACATGCTTCTCTCAGAACAATATGACGGTGGTCGACGCCACTCCCGTGAAGCCCATCCGGTAGATGAACGCATCGCGTTCGCGAGAAGGAGTCCACTGCATCGGAACGACTCGAGAGTTTTTCTCCAACAAGAGCTCGCAATTGACAGGTCGAGTGTGAGGACAGGATTCGCTTCTACTCGATTCGAGCTTATCGAGGAGCAGCTCGGATTATCCGACTAAATCAGCATCGTGAAGAACCTTAGAATCCCCTCCCCTCTAGATGTGCGAAGGTCAAGGAGCCTTAGCGGGTCATTCCCCTTAGATGCTGTCCGGTCGAGGAGGAGCGTCCCCAATACCCCGAGTGATGTCCGCGCGCGCATACTTTCTGACCTAATTGTTGCGATCTCGACTGCGGGCATTTAGGTCATACATAGATATGCCCTCTTATCCATGGTGATTAAAGGGCTTGACGTGGGACCAGAGCTGGCGACAGGCAGTGCCCACGCCAGGACGAATTTCACAGGTCCCACAGCACACGATTAGGGCCAGCCGCTGGAACTACAAATGTGCTTCGCGGCAGGAGCACGTTCAGCTGTATCCGAGGGTCCCGACCAATTGCGACATACTCTCGGTTGTAGCTCCCGTGAGATCCGTTCCGAGGAGATCCCGCAAATTTCTTGTGGAATGGAAAGTTAGACGTTCCAGTCTCGAACTGGAGAACGACAGGTGGGAAAATCGGAGTGCGAAAAGACGCTCGATGATCTTCGCATGACCTTGACGGCTCCGTGCTTCAACGGAAAGCTGATGGACCGTTCGCTCCCCCAAGTCTTGATTGCGGTCCCTTCCCCCCTGCTGCCTTGCCACAGTGTCGGATGACATTGCATAATTTGGAATCCGATTCTCGCCAAGACCGTTTACTTGAAACGACTTCGGCAGCTAGCACTGATGCTTTCCGCGGTGACCGCGAATCGTCGTTCTAAATTTAGCTACGTACGCAAATTACTGGCGTGGGCCGTGGTAAATCACTCGTGATTGCGTAGACTTACGAGTGCATCCTCTCGTACGTCAGCCGCGCGGAACTCCGGCTGCAATCCTAGATATACTCGTAATAGAAGCTACCAATGCTGTATCGTACGCTATTCTCACCTGTTTCCGAAACTCGGCGGGGATCCCGCCAGGGAGCCTAGCCACCATTTTCATGGCGTCCCTCCATTGAGTGAAGCCCGTATCTCCCGGGAACGGTTCGAGACTGAACTTCATTTTAGTGTCAACACCTGAAAAATCGATGGTTGCTGATACCAAGTCTTAGGAGCGTACCCCTGTGGGCAGCATGCTCCATGAGCAGGGCTGATAAGCGACTCCTTAGAGTTGCTCGAGGGATTATATCCGATCGCTTCGGTTACAGCGTCCTCAATTCGAGCAAACACATGAGGTGGGCTTTGGTAGCTCTCCGTTTTTTCATTCGAACTAAATCGCGAAATAAGGGTCCAGGAGCGATTCATTCTAGCCTTACAGCAGTCGTGAGATATCCGGAGGAGAGATGGACTCAGGCTCTTACTCAATACCCAGCCCCCGGGGAGACCGCAGACCTCTCTCGATTGCAAGAACTTCCGAATGGTTGCACCCGTGTTGGTCCTCTCCTCGGAGGACCATATATCTAGCGAGATGTTGTGCTTTTGTGCTCCCAGCCTAGAGCGGCCTCAGCCCTAGGTTGCCGACGTTATTTACACAGAGAGAGTTCCTCCGCTCTTGTAACTCGGAGAGAAGAGGATGATACAGGGCCCTGGAACACTTTGATGGCCATCATCCGGGAGGATTGAGACAAAGAGAAGTTCCTCTCGGAGCTTCCCGAGGCCTGCTCCATTTATACGGATCAAACTTCGAGAATGCACATTTCAACGATCCGAAATGCTCTGGATGAATAGGACACTCTTCTCCACTTCTCTCCTTTCGTCGTCGATATCTGAGTAAGATGATGCTCTCGTCGGATGACGACATATCATTGCGCTGAACTGCGACCATATTCCGTCGACCAGCCCCCTGCAGCAACACGGCGCCGATGGTGTGAAGAGTGAAGGCTGCAGCTGACTTATCGTCGAGGAACATAGTCCCCAACGTGTGCCGGCCGTCCCCACCTCACTCGATGATATTTCGGTCGATCCTGAATTTCCGGAAAGCGAAAAACTCTCAGACCCCTAGCTCGAGCTGGATCGGATCCGATTCCCCTAGCCCCAAAGTAGGGAATTCTACGATACTCCCAAGAAACTCTGCTCAGTCAGTCCTATTCATCGGGAGAGTCGACAGGAAATTGATTCCGACAGTTTTTATTCAATATAACTACCCTCTCTATCGATTCCATCGAAAACTTCGCCTCAAGAGTCCACATCCCCCGCTCTGGTGGAACGTTCGTTAATAAATAAGGTACCACAATCGGATTGGAGCTAGTTCCGAGGAATCGACAGAGAGAAGAAAATGATCAGTGCAGATCCCGTCGAATCATCTTCTAAATTAATGTACCGAATCAGAGACTAAAAAGCAGTCACATGAGAACTTTGAAACCCTTCTGCTCCAAGAAATTCAACACAGCCCACACGGAAATCACGATTGGAAGAACAGGCATCAAGAATTTCCTGACGGTCCTTTTGATGAAATGGTACGCGCAGCCCCGCCCCGCGTGGCGTCGGCCTGGTAAAGGGACGGCTTCCTCCTCGTTGTCATTCTCCTCAGTCGCGACATGGTCGTGCATCGGTATGTCATCGGAGAAGTCCTGGCTCGACGGATCGATGTTGGCCGTGTCGTTTTCGAAAATAATTAGGGTACCGTTTTCGACAACGGCCTTGATTCGTTGTAGTGTATCCTCGTGTTCCGGAGAATATTCCCGGAGGTTTTCTGGCGAGAAGGGATCCTTCGCTTGTTGCGTGGCGGAGATTCGAGCTCGTGGCGAATCGGTATTTAGTTTGGGACGCGGAGTGTTTTCGGCGCAAGGTCGATCATTTCTTTCGTAAAATTCTTCTTCGATGAAAACGGCGAATTTTTCCGCGAATCGTCCGGCTATGATGATCCTCCTCCGTCGCTTCACCTTCGTCGATTCAACGCTTTCGACCATTTCATCGAAAGAGTCCACTCCGGAATCAAAGGCATCCAGAATTTTCTCCGCGTCCCCGCCTGATTCTTCCAATATTTTCTTTAGAATTTCTACATCCGTCGTTGGCTCTGGGTTCGGAAATTTCGACTCCATACTCCTTGCGGTTCCAGGGCTCATCTCCTTCAGGCCGGCGGGTGACGTTCCCGAACCAGAGCAGGCTTTCCCCAACGGAATGTCTCCCGCAGAAAACGTCTTGATACCGAGCTCCTTTTTCGGCGGCGAAGCGGAGACAGCTCGAAAACCGCCATCGGTGATTTGGAGCAGAGCTTCCCGGCTCTCGAGGCGGAACACCGGACCCTCGGCATGGAAGGCCCCAACTAAGGCGTTAAGTTCACCTTGGTCGAACCCCTTGAACACTTGGAGACCTCTTTCACTAAGGAGCTTCATTGAGATTTGATGAGTGTCGCTAGCCAACGCAAACTTGATGTCGTTTTTGTTCTCGATCCCGAGAATGCTCCGGTCGGCGCGGGCGTTCTTCCATTCCTGGTAAATCTGCAACGTCCGATCAAATCGGGCTGATTGATGACTCGAAATCGGAAGCGGATCGTCCGAATCATCGCACCTTGGATCAGTGTTTCGACTGCTTTGGCCTACCTTTGAAACGAGTGCGCGCGGTTGTTGCGCAGGAACTCGGGAATGGCTCCTAGCACCGATTGGGGCCAGACGCCGGTCGTTTTCGGCCAGCGAAACGCCGCAAACGAATAGGAAAAATGCTAATCCCTTCAGAATCATGCTTGTTTTCGAAGCAGCCGAGTTGACGGACGTCGTATATAGCAGAAATCCACAATCAAGTCTCGAATGTCGACGGTTTGCACCTTGCACGCTCTCTGCGCGAACTCCCATAAGGCCTTCGGGCCACGACCGTCTACCAGCCACAAGGCATCGGAGCAACACTTTCGGACGCCGCAAAAGACGCTTTCGCAGTCCACACACGTCCTAGCTGCATGATGACTCTTCGGCCTATTTCTTGAGAGAGGAATTGTAGGATCTCGCCACGCGTACAGAAGTTCTGAGGGAACAGGCCCGCAGGAAGCTTCTGCAATGCCTTTTAGTTTGGAAAGTTGGTAACCCCGGCAGTTGATTACGTTAAGCAATCGGATAATTGGTGTGCTCTAGTGGGCAAACAAACGTACCAGGGGTCAAAGGGATGAGAGTGGAATACACTCAAACTGCGAAGCGGAGGACAGACGAAGTTCGGGAAAGAATTCCGCAGACTGTTTCACACAAAGGGGAGAAGGGAAGTGTTTTTGACGTGAAAACGTCTTTAAGTTCATCGCGCATACAGACCAAGGGTACTTCGTCCTCAGCGTCACGAAAGTGATCCGCTTTTGACGCTTCATAACTTTGTTCCCCGAACACCTAGATCTTCGCGGTGTGTGCCATAGTATCGAAAATTTACGGCACGAGCTTCCACGCGATTTTGGAGCCGATTGGAGTCCTCAGAGCTCCCGTTCAGCGTGATTCGTGCAACCCTCTGAGATACCTCGATTCTTGCATAAATAATCGCTTTTCTCAGTGCTCAGACGCTGGATTGATCGGAATTGCTTGCCCGGCAAAGGCGACGATGTGTGCCGT